TTAGATGCATCGCGATGCGGACGTGAACGATTCTGAATCGATTCATTCAACGTCAAAAATCGATTTTCTAAATATTTAATTTATAACGTAATGTTGACGGAACGCAAAAGGCGGAACTTGGAAGTGGGTAAGTGCAGCGCCCGGACAGTCTGTGGCGGCACACAACAAAAACACTACTGGATGAGCGAGAAATCCGACTGGCTCCCTCTGCATTAAAGCCAGGTTAGGTCAGGAGTCACAACACATGATAAGAAGAGCCATTTTGCCTTTCAACGAAGTCAAACCACCTTGGCAGCCACAACATTTAATGCCCAGTAGGTCTCAGTATGTGATAATGTCCTAGTTTAGACTAAACAAGATAAACGAGAGCGCAGATTTACTTCGCTCTGCTTTAAGCTTTAGCTTTAGCCGCTTTCCTCCCATCTCCGCCAGGAAACCTTTCTTCAAAACTAGAAGAGTTTCTTGTAAAATGTCTCAGCGTCCGGCTGTTTTACGAGGCTGAAGTCGCTTCTCATTCGCCAGCTTCTCGTCCTAATTTTCCCGTTCCACCTTAAATTCTGCCTTAGGCGCCGAATATAACTGCTGCACCATTTAAGGTGGAACGGGAAAATACGAAAGAGAAGCGAGTTCATTTTCGCAACTTTTTAGAGAAAGACAGTCTCTCAGCAGATTTAACCAACCGCGCTGCTTATAAATGCGAATAAGTCCTCCAAATGTTCGTCTTAATCTGTTTTTCTCGTTCGCTACTGGCGAGGCCAGACCTCGGGGCTATGTGACCTGCTGTCTGCCGTCTGTTCTCAGTCGTTGAGAAGCAGGGCTTTCGTGCTATGCTGCACACTTTGGAGCCGAGATTCAGCGTCCAGTCTCGAAAACACCCCCCCACTCTCTACAACGAGACCAAAAGGGTGGCTGTAACGCGCTGCGTGGACACCCGTTACCACTGGATCTTATTTCAGGGCAACAGCGCATTTTATCGCAGATGAGTGGCAGCAGCGTCTCTGAATGAGAGCCTTCTAGTTCACTTGCCACTTCACTTCCATTTGATTTATTAATAAAAAGATATTTTAGATAATTAAAGCAAAGTATTTGTAATGATCCGTAATGCATTTACATTATGGATCATTACAAATACTTTGCTTTAAAACTACCAAGTCCTCAGACAGTGGGAAGATAGAAATCATGTATAGAGAAAAAAGATGCATCGATAATCGTTTTATAATCGCATCGCAGCCCTCTGAATCGTAATCTAATCGAATCGTGAGGTGCCTAAAGAGTCCCACCCCTAATATGTATGTATGTATGTATGTATATATATATATATATATATATATATATATATATATATATATATATATATATATATGATAATGGATAGAACAATAAAATAAATCTAATATCAAGAATATTTGTGAGAGATAGATCTGGATTTTTTACAGTTATAAGGTAGTTAGTTACAAAAGATTATTTTTAGGGCACTAATTGTGGGAAACAGGCAAGTGACTAACAAAGCCACAAAGTTGTCCCTAGGTTATTTTTCTGTGTTTTTAGCAGCTGCAGTTAAACAATCCTGAAACCTGGGCATGCTGCAGCCCCCTCTGTACCCCCCCATTCCACATCCTTGAATCATCTCTAAAAGTAAGGACATATGATTTGGAAGAGAGTGAGGAGTCTTTAGGAATAGTCATACATACTCAGATCCTCATCAGAGTCCTAGCAGCAGCATATAGAGAAGATGATCAGTTAGTTCTAGTTTGAAATCACTACTTTTAACCAGTTTGATCAAGGCAAATTAACATTACCAGCAAAGGTGGTCAGTATAATTTTTTTTTGTTTTCATTTGTGTCTGTTATTGATTTAGTGTGTATTATTGATTTACTGTATATTACTGGTTTACTATGTATAACTGGTTTAGTGTATACTATTTACCTAGTTTGATGTGTATGTGGTGTTTCTGCAGATGTTCAGGGGAGGGAGAGGAGCTGAATCTCAGAATGTAAACCTGCGTGCTCTGGAGAAAATTATTAATTACACTCAGACCTGGTAAGCGAGAACTTATTAATATCTGCTAACCGTGAATGTGAATTAGTGAAAATGAAGTAGTGCAATTTATACAGTATTTATATCAGTAGTATATGCTGTTTGAACAGTTTTTTCTGTGTGTTTAGGTATAGTCCAGGGCGTGGACGCCAGTTTGCGGTGGCTATGAATGTCCCAGCTCATTACTGTAATGGAAGCTCTGAGCTTGACATCGGGTTTCTCAACCGTGATAACCCATATGAAATAAGAACTGAATTGAGAGATAATCACATTTATGAAGGAGTAGATCTGATTGCTGCAACACAAAGAGAAGACAACACCGGCAACTTCTACCATTCTGAGTACCTTCTGCTGAACCACCCACATCCAGAACAATCCCGCATGAAAGAGCTGCTGAATGTGGACGCGGATGGCTGTGTGATTTTCTACACCTACAACTCCCCCTGTAAGCATACGTGCTTGAATGAAGATGCAGAACGCAACATTCACAATGCTGTCAGAATGTTAGGAGAGCACCAAGGTCCAAAAGCATTTGTTTATAATCAGATATTTCAAAATGATGATCAAGATCTAGAGGAACACCTTGCACGAATAAATGCATTTGTGCCAGTATATCGTTGTCAACCTACACGTACCAGTAACTTTAACTTATACCAGTACCCTAACCCTTACATGAACTATTACTTGAACGCTTATCTTCACCCTGACCGTGCCATGAACTTGAACCCTTACTATAACCATCACCCTTAAACTAGAACTTGAACCCTTACCTTACCCCTAACCCTAATTGCTACCCTAATCCTTTTTTTTATTGCACCCCTGTTTCAGAAGTTGGGATGCTGTACAAAATGTAAATAAAAACAGAAGACCATGATGCACAAATAATTTAAACTCTATATTTTATTGCAAATAGTACAAAGACATCAAATATCAAATGTTGATTTTTTTTTAAATATTTGCCCATTTTGAATTTGATGCCAGCAACATATTTTAAAAAAATAGCAAAGAACTTTTACTTTTCATCATCTACAGTACATAATATCATTAAAAGATTCAGAGAATCTGGAGAAATCTCTGTATGCAAGGGACAAGGCCAAAAACCAGTATGTGCTGGCCGTGATCTTTGGGCCCTCAGGCAGCACTGCATTAAAAACAGACCTGTTTCTGTAGTGGAAATCACTGCATGAGCTCAGGAACATTTCTGAAAACCACTGTCTGTTAACACAGTTCATCACTGCATCCACAAATGCAAGTTAAAACTTTACCATGCAATGAGGAAACCATATATAAACAGGATCCAGGAACACCGCTGCCTTCTCTGGGCCCAAGCTCATTTAAGATGGAGTGAGGTGAAGTGGAAAAGTGTCCTGTTGTCCAGTGAATCAAAATTTGAAATTCTTTTTGGACATTATGGACACCGCATCCTCCGGGCTAAAGAGGAGAGGGACCATCCAACTTGCTATTAGCGCACAATTCAAAAGCCAGCATCTGTGATTTTTGGAGCAACATGCTGCCATCCAGACATCTTTTTTCAGGAAAGGCCTTGCTTGTTTCAGCAAGATGATAAACAAAGCACATTCTGCATGTACTATAGCAGCATGGCTCCTTAGTAAAAGAGTCCAGGTGCTAAAATGGCCTGCCTGCAGTCCAGACCTGTAACTACTAAAAACATTCGGTGCATTATGAAACAAAAAAAATGACCAAGGACACCCCGAACTGGTAAGCAGTTGAAATCCTATATCAGACAAGAATGGAAAAACATTTCACTTTCAAAACTACACCCGTTGGTCTCCTCACTTCCCAAACAGTAAACATGCCCCCGTCCCAACTTTTTTGAAACATGTTACTGGCATAAAATTCAAAATGAGCATTTTTCAAAAAACAATAGAATTTCTTAGTTTTAACATTTGATATGTTGTCTTTGTACTATTTTCAATCAAATGTAGTTTTAATGATTTGCACATCATTGCATTCTGTCTTTATTTTGCAAAGCATCCCAACGTTTTTTGTGAGCAGGGTTGTATTATGTGAACCATTAACCGTTAACTGTAATAATTATCACTGTCATCTTTGCCTTTGTGAACACAATACAGAACACATTCCAGAACATTGATTTAGACCAGTGATTGTGTACTGAAATGGTTCAAAGTCAGAGCTGAAACACATTTGGGACGTTTAACTGATCTTGGACTTTAGACTAAAATCTTTTTGCTCTGAGTGACTTTATACCTTAATTATGGTTATTTTATTAAAGTTAATGATTGAAAATGTGGGACAAACCATTTTTGAATAAAAAACATCTTTACATAAAAAAAAACAAAATAAGAAAAAATACTACAAAAAGTAACTAAGTATTATTTAGGGTTAGGGTTTGGGACAGACACCTTCCAATAGAAAGTACCCTTAAATTCTGATTCTATACATATTTAGCTTATTACTATCTCTATTAATGTCTTGTACCCATGTACGTCTGAAGTACAACACTCACACACAATGTATTTCAATTAAACGAGATATCAGATCATAACTGCATTTTCACAGAGTATCAATACCTACAACACTCACTTCTGTCATGTTAAAGGATCATTTGATCATATTTAAAATGAAGATACTGGAACACAAATTCATTTCTAAAGGTATCAGACAGTGAAGAGCATCAGACAGGATTCTGGCTGTTTTCATACATTTTCAAATGGATTAAATAAACACATGTACACGTTTATACGTTTATTTCTGTATGGTACATTTCTATGTGTAATATTTCCCCATACATTTTAAAATAAATGCATTTCAAAATATATTTGGTTAATATGGAAAAATATTCTGAAATGCATTTTAGTGTTTGGAATGTATTTCAGCATCGACAGCAGTGTGTTTGAGATGTATTTGTGCAGTTTGAACTAATTCACTAGAATGCTCCATATTTGAGTGGATGACATGGCAGTGGCGGATGAAGCCAACTTTCTCTGACTCCCTTTAGTATCTGTCTGCAATACACACAATCCTTGTAAAAAAACAATGCAGTTTAATATGATAGTCTATTCAACTATGTACAGAATGCTCCAAGTATGTATTTTTGCACTTTATATTTACTAAGTCTATATTTTTGTATGCTTTGATGTGCTAACTTGGCACTGATTATGTACTTAAAATAAATATATACTGTGAAAAGTGTGTCCCAGGAGAACATTTCTTCTTTGTTAAAACTGTATGTCAGTAGATTACTTTTGCAATGAGCTGTGCTTTTTGTATGCTAAAACTATACTTTACTTTTACTATACTTTTCCCAAAAAGTGTATTTCATTTATGAGTTATATACGTGCTTCAGTGAAGTATAATTTTATATTGAAAAAGTGCATCAGCAAATTATGCTTCTGGTGAATTGAGCCTAGTTGATGATAGAAACTACACTTTATCAGAGAATTTGTGAAGAACATGTTTTATTTTTGAGCTAAATCTATACTTCAATGAATTGTGCTTGAAACAATGCTCTCAATGGAATGTTATGTATATTGCTATGTCATGCTTCCCTCCGGTCCCGCTGTTACTTCCCAGCCTCCGGACTCCATTTCCCAGAACTCCCCACCTGATCATATAACCTCAGATCTCCTTTACATGACTCTCCAACGTACTGCGCTTAGAAGGATAAGCGGCTTAGAAAATGTGTGTGAGTGTGTGTGTATTATTATTGGAGTATAGGGGGGCCCAGCAAGACCATGATCCATCCCCGATGGTCCTACTTGTAGAAAGCAAACCATGTTGAGGAACTGCTTCTATATTTTAAATGTTTTCTGTAGCTATATTTCTATCCATAGAATTTCTTACAAAGAAAAAAAAAAAGATTTTCATTGTGAAGAACTGAATTCAACAAAGTCAGTTTTTTCCAGTAATAAACTGATTACACAACACAACTGTGTACACAAACACAAATATGTTTATACCAAAATATATTTATCCATTATTCATTTAGTAGTTTACAGTACAGAAAGACAAAAATACAAAACAGCAATACTTTTCAGTGTGAATTTTCAGTGCAAGGTCAAACTGATTAATCCTGAATAGAGGCTATTCTATCTCACACACACCAGAATAAACCCTGATCCCTGCATAGAGCGGCTCTCTGGTGGTGGTGAATGTGTGTAAGTGTGTCAGTGTGTGTGTGTGTCAGGTGAGATGCTGTAGAAAGTGCCGGCTGGCCAGTCCACAAACACTCCTACTCTGCCAGACTGGGGTCGGTGGATAAGTGAGGCAGTTTCATTTTTTTAAGATAGATACAGCGCATGTTATTGAAGTACTGCAAACTCCAGGACTGAGCACTGAATCCAAACCAACTGTCATCACTGTCTCATTTCCTGCTGATCCCTTTGTATGTCACAGCTATATCAACTTCAAGTTGATATAGCTGTATCCCAACCGGCCCACTCATATACATATTATTGTGATTCTGAGCTCCAGGAAATTAGGAAGAATTTTTTATTTGATTAAATTATAATTAGAAACAAATAGCAATTGTGGTATATGCCACATGGATTAGCATGGACTGTCAGCTGATGAGAGTTCCAGAGTGTAACAAATTCTCTCACTCTTTAAACTTTGTGCTAACACTTAGGAACCATGAGTTCCTCTAAGGAGCTGGGGATCTGAAAATGAAGCTAATCTATGTCTAAAAAGCAGGGGAATGCTATTAACAGATATCAAAGTAAATCCAGCTCTTCCAACCCTTTAGCTACCTAAAGAGTCTTTGAATAATGGCTGTTGAAAGGGAACTGGGAAAGTCAAGGCAAGATGTGGAAGACAAGAAAACTGTTTGTATGCTGGCTAGAAAGGCAAAGCAAAACAAAAATGGACCTGTTACGCATTGACATTATGTGGCAGCCAGTGGCACAAAAAAGAATATATGAGCAAATGAAAGAACTAATTCCACTAAATATCAGAAAACAAAAGAAGAGTAGGTAAAAATTCCTAAAACAAGAATTGAAAGACCCCTGCTTTTGATACCATAAAATTCTCATATATAGACTTTATAACTGGGTTGGACCCTCAGGAACTGTCCTAAAATGGTTCAGTTCATACCTGCAATGAAGGACCTACTTTGTCAAAAAAGAAAGTAATGTTTCTGAGAGAATGCCAGTGACCTGTGGTGCCCCCCAGGGTTCGGTTCTTGAGCTGCTTGTATTTAATTTATACATGCTTCTTCTTAGCCAAATACTTTAAGACTATGGGATATCTTACCACAGCTATGCAGATGATACTCAGATCTACTTGGCCCTCTCTGTAAATAACTATGGTACCCTTGACTCACTTTGTAAATGTCTTGAACACATCACCATCTGGGGGGGACTAAATGTTCTGCAGTTGAATAAAGATAAAACTGATATTCAGGAATAGCACTGAGTGGCACAGACTAGAAAGACTAGAGAGCCCTAAAATCTAAATAACTAATGCATAACCCTGAAGTACTGATGGACTCTGATCTCAGTTTTAGCAGTTGTGTTAGAGCAGTTACTAAATCAGCTTTTATCACCTGACTAAACCAGACCTGGAGAAATTCATGCACACCTTCGTTTCTAGTAGGATTGATTACTGTAATGGTCTCCTATCTGGACTCCCAAAAAAGACAAACAGCTTCAGTTGATTCAAAATGCAGTTGCTAGGGTTATCCCCAGGAGTGAAAAAAAACATCACTCCCATTCTTAAATCCTTACAATTATTACCAGGTATGTTACAGAATAGACTTTAACATACTATTACTGGCCTATAAATGGCTTAATTTTGCAGGAGCAGCATATTTATCTGATCTGCTGCAGCGATGAGCCGAGCAGAACTTTCAGATCGTTAGGAAATAGTCAGTTAGTGCTGCCGAAGGTAAAGACTAAACAAGGAGAAGCACCATTTAG